CCCTTGCTTGTGTGAATCGATTTATGATGGGTTTTAGTTTCAAAATGTGTATTTTTATTTAAAAATGTCCCCTTATGTCTTTAAACTGTTTTAGTTTCATGTAAAAGCAGATTAATGTGTTGCTTTTTAATCTCTGTCTGATTTGATTGATTTTAGCAGCTTGTATTGAGTTCATAACTAAACTTTGAAATCTGTCCTGCCTTGTGTTTTGTTCCTTCGTGCTGCAGCTCTACAGCTCCGTGGAGTTTGGTAGAAGATGGCAGCTGGTGCACGAACGAGTGGCTCCTAATCGTTTCTACTGGTGAGTGCAGACAGCTGAGCAGCAGGTATCACTTCACTCACACTCACACTCCATTAACAACTCTCGTTAGTCTTTTACATCAAGTGCTACAAAGCTAAATGCTAACTGCTTGTARAAAAGTGACAGGAAACAAAAATCTAAATAAGCAGGAGGGACAAATATTAATAARAACCACAAATTAAATCAATTTGAACCAAACCAGCTGACTGCAGATCTGTTTAATCACTGATTACATTTGAATATTTAGTGTAGCCATGTGTTCCCTTCATATATTTAGACGTTTGTCACAATAAATAATGGTAAATTGTGCAGACTGAAATTCCACTTTCATTATAAAATAGATTGTCTGTGTGGCATAAATTACCATTAATCAGGAGTAAAAATGCCAAATTAAAAAAATAAAATATTCTGAGGATAATAGAAGCTGTTTGTCATGATAAAATGCTCATTGTCAAACTTTACACAAAATAAACTAAAATCATCTCATGATACAACAGGAGGAGCTGCAGCCGTTTTGGTCAAATGATGGTTTTATGAAAGACGTTGTGCTCATGAGATATTTTGTGTCTTTGTCTGTTTATCTGGGTTTTATCACATCCTGTTTGTTTCTTATTTACATGTTTCTTCWGTGCATCTGTTGGACACGCTGCTTCCGTTCCTCCTGTCAGACTCAGAGCTTTCCAACACGACTTCATTCAGTAGCTAACAGGACAAACAGGCTTCAGCTCCACAATCTGCAGCAGAGCTGCTGGTTGATAACAAGCTGGCTGGGCCTGGAGTGACGGCAGCCCTCAGGCTGTCAGACTTCTATTTTAGGTGGTGGTCCGTGCAGGAGGTGTTGTGGTCGCCCTGCTAATGAAGCTGCACAGGCGGGGGC